AACACATCGGGCTATGAGGATGGAACCGATGGCGACGATGGCCCAGCTAAGAAGAAGAGGGCAACCATGACTCAGGTCACTGGCAACATCAATGCCCCCTTCGGTGGCAGCTCTGGACCTCTCCGCGTCACAGCAAGCACGGCTGGCTCCTTGCGAACCTTGCGACCGGCCGGAAATTCTCAGGACCCTTCTATGGGCTCTCACATGCAGGATGTGCCTAGAGCCCCGACACCCGTACCAGACAGAGGCCCCTCAGTAAAACAGGCTGGCAAGACCACGAAGGGTAGCAAGTTGCGTCGGCAGTCGACATTAAGCCAGGCCGCTACGCCTCCCAGCCAACTCCAGTTTTTCGAACCGCCCTTTGCCCTGTCTCCGAGTCAACAAGATGGTCGCTCTCCAGATTCAGAAGCCGTGTCTCCCAACTTTTCCGAGGACAGCCCTGCAGCCATTGGATCTTCGCCACCTGTTCCTCGTACCACCAGCTTCGTGCGGTCGAGTCCGCCGGCGTCCAGCCCGATACTTCCCCCTATGCGAATGCCAATGCCACAGCCTGACTCTGGCTTTATGAGCGGCGGCGTTGACGACCTTTTCGATGGCGATATTATGAAGCCACTTCCGAAACCCGTTGCTACTGCACCAACACAATCCAAAGGGCGAAGAACGAACCGTAATGAGACCAAGGAACAAATAGATGAATCCGGTATCCCCATCCAAGTCTTTCAGCTGGCGGAGCAGGTACCCAGCGAAATGGATAATGCTCCGAAGATCCGGCAACAACTCCCCCCTAAAGCACCTACTTCGACGCCGTCGACAGAGCCATCACTACCTCCTTTACAACACGCCGCCAGCGACTCCACCATGACAGTGCCTCCGCAGCCTGCGGGAAAAGAGCCCTCGCCACAACAAGAGGAGCCGGTTGTGGTGATAAAGCCTGACGTCGATATGGACAGTCAAAGTGCTCCCAGCTTCGAGGCCCCTCGGTCTGAAGATAGCCTCGACATGAGACTCGACCAACTTGTACAAGCTGTGCAGGATAAAGCACCTGGTGAAGTGTTACCAGAGCCTTCCATAGTGGCTCCTGTTGCGGTGGAGGTTTTTGCTCTTCCTTCCGCACCACCTTCTCTTTCTCGGTCTACTTCTTCCGGATTTTCGCTGCCCATGGTCCCGGCCAGCGACCCGATCGGTCCTCTCGCATTACCAGCTCTCCCCCTCCCAGATGTTACCTCTTTCTCCGAAGCACCTTGCCCTCCAAGCGACGCATTCCAGCCCCCAAGATCACCAACACAGGCTCAGAAGGCAAACAAAAATTATGTCAAGAAAAAGGCCATCAGAGAAAAGCTTTTGCAAGCCATCGAGAGTGGGCAAACCCCCATGTACTGCAATAACTGCGGTGCTATTGAGACCCCCACATGGCGCAAGATTTGGTCTCAAGAGCATGAGGGTGTCCCCGAATTCACCGAATTTTCAGATAAGCCAGGCAGAATCACTGCCATCCTGGTCTTGGAGCGAGATGATGATGACAAGGTCACCAAGTACCAGATCATCAAGAAGGGCTTGGCACCAAATGAGGACAAGGCAGAGTGGAAGTGGCATATGCTCTGCAATCCTTGCGGCATTTGGTTGTGTAAATGGAAGGCACATCGGCCATCGGAGAAGTGGGAGAAGGACAGATCTCGCCTCAGTCAGCAAAGACGGCCTCGGGGTACTGGGCGAGCTCCTAGACCGCCCAGGGCGAAGAAGTATGATTCAGCAAACCCACTCAATCCGACGTCTGAGGCTTACTTCACAACGGACCCCATCGGGCCTGACGATCGGGGCATCTCGCCTATGGATGAGAGCAGATCCCGCGGCATCTCGCAGGTCAGCAATGCCAACGAAGCTTCGCGGCGATCAGTCTCTCAGCTATCGATGTCTCAGCCGCCCGACTATCAGGGTTCTCGGCCAGCGTCGCCTGGGCATGCCTCCAATCCGGGGTCTACCCACTCTCGGGGGAGCGGTACGGCCAAGAGCCCAATTACCCTTGACAATGCCGACGTACCAAATATGGGTGGTACTCGACGGCTCCTATTCCCTTCGCCTCGAAAGGAAGGCGTTGCTAAGGTCTTGGGCGAGGTTGCCGTTAACATCGTGCAAACTGCGATAGAACTGGACGTTTCGGCTGCAGCTGCTCAAAACAAGGACTCCACCGACAAGTCGAGCAAGGACGAGGTGCAGAAGGATACCCGGTCAAATAAGGAGAACCTGGCGATTCCTGATGATGACCTCGAAGATCTGTTTAGAAGCCCCATCGCTCGTCCATCGACGCCGCCCCCTCGGGAAAGGCCTGCTAACAGCGGCCCCTTCAAGACGCCCACTCGACCGACACCCAGCCACCGTCCCATTACTAGAAGCGTCACTAGAAGTGTGTCGCGGTCGTTGAGGTCGAGTGACTTGCTTCGGTCCCCTATGGCCTTGCGTCGCACACCTATGCGGACTCCACGGTCGGGTAAGGGCCAAATCCGGAGGAGCCCTCGCCTGCACCATGAAGAGTTCTCTCAGATGGAGATGGCCTTGGAGGAGTACCTTTCCTCCCAGCCTGTCGACCACCAGTATGACTCTGATATGCTGGAGGCTATGAACCGAGCTTTGGCCGAGTCTATGAACGCCCCTGGTTCTAGTTTCGACATCACCAGTATGATGCTGGATTCAGACTGTCAGCTTGAATTCGGCGATCTTTTGGATTCGCCATCCAAGCCGACGCCAAAAGCGGCTCGGCAAACGAATGACTACGAGGATTGGGAGACGTGGGAAAAGAACATGCGTGAGCGTCAGGCGGCAGATGATACCGCACACGACTAGATACCCGGAGTGAGGATGGAGTGGTTCTGATATTTACCATGAGTTGTTAGAGTGGAAGTTTTCCACACGAAAGCGCGGGACATGGGTCCACGCAATGCGCGGTATCGCCACGAGTCGTATGATATTTCTTATTGGTTTTTGGAGGGAATTGCATCATAACAGCGCGCCTACGGGCATGAGATATACGGGAGAGGGCGTTTCGAGACATCACAAAGAGGTTGTCTGGTGGATTTAGAGTTGAAAACACCGGCCTTGATGCCATGGTGATGAGTCGCGCATCGCCTCTGCTAAGTACTGCATTGATTCAATAGTTTAGGTAGAGGCCTTTGGCCCTATCCCAGCGATACATTTGTTAATGACGACTATAACTCTCAATCTTGATAATCCCTCGCTAGTTTCTTCCCTCGTGATCCTGCCGTTCAGTGTTGTATAGTCTTAGTCTACCTTTTATGCATCATTGAAGGTCGAAGGCTATATCCCATGAACAGATGGCTTTGCTCCTCCATTCCATTGCGAAGAACGAGACGTAGATTAACATGAACATCGTCTGCTTCAATGTTTTCATACCCACTCGACCGGGCGTGTCGTTTTAGTGATTAAAGTCGACATGGATAGCAACGGTGACGTCCGATGGTGTTCGATGGTGTTCGATGATGTTGCTGATTGAGATCTTCGGGTCATGTTCCCACTTTATACCATGGCTGCCTTTGTTTCCCCTGGCGGTATCTTCAGATTGATGGTTTATCAAGTAGCAACCCATGCCTTTCAGAAACAGCCATAAGAGGGCAAACATAGAGACATGACTCTAAAGTGTTGGTAGAAGCGTTCCTGTGGAGAGAGAGAGAGTTGCTTTGAGAGTCGCATTGAGAATCGCATCGAAAGCCGATTCGAGAGTCGTTAGGAATAGCGATATAAAGGCAAAAGCAAAGGCCCTTTGTGATTTATTGGTAGAATCGATCCGATAAGAGTCGCGTTGAGGGTCGCGTTAAGGGTTACATAGAGAATCACATCAATAGTTGCATCAAGGGTCATGGGAAATAGCTATAAGAAGGATAATTGCAACGGCTTATATTAAGTCATCGGGAGAAGCGATCAGATCGGCAGTTGAGTTAAGTCGACAAAGGTGTTGACGTTGTTATTCGCTCATTAAGCATCAAGACTAATTGAAAGCTATCGATAAATTCTTAATCCCTTTTCCTCTTATCTCTTTCTCTCTCTCTCTTCTCCATGCACACAAACATACACACGCACATTCTCTCGCCTTATGACCTATCACGCTCGTATTCGTAGATGATTTCTTTGATCTTTTTGAGAGTAGACGGACGTCCGGTATGTCCTTTGGATAGAATTAACAAGAAGAGGCAGAAGTAAATTGTTGCAATTCGAAGTTCGAACCTATCACAGCGGACCGGTATCACTTGTGTTATTTATACCTGAATGGAAAAGTCAACCGCTGACACTACCTCAAACCCAAGTCAAGTCGATGAGTTGAGGCGAAGTCCCGGTATGCCCTTTACACTCAAGAGAAGCAATACCTTTCTCAAAGTTCAAGTTAAAGGGCATATTCGCTCCCATAAGTCGTTACTCCTCACGCTCGTATTCGTGAGTGATCTCGTAGACGTCTCTGAGAAGTTGTGAACGCTAGGTATGTACTATGAACAGATAAGTGATATCTTTACTTACCAAGGCCTCAACCAGGGAATCTTTGCAGAGAAATGTCGACCCCGTACTGCCCTCGCTGACATGCCCAGAAATCGACAAATTTAATGGGTGATGACGGAGAGACTAATTCTGCTGGCGTGGCGTGGGTCGTAGATTTATATACTCGTTTAGGGGATACCGACCACACAGGGTCTTTCTCCAAATCTAACATCGGGATATGGGCCCCCTAAGCCCTAAAGAGATGGAACAGAATCACCTCGTACCCTTGTTGCCTTTGCACCCGAGTATTGGCATCTCTACTCGATATCGACCACGACGACTGGCTTGCGTCTGATTGTATGTCATGAACCATCTCAGAAATGCATCCCAGTTTAGGAGGAGCACATCATCATCTTCGGTCCAACCTTCTCCCTTGATATTCCTGGCAGCGAATCATTATCAGCCGCCTCTGACAGCACCAGTGACACAGAGCGAGGATGTTGGCAAGGAGGCCAAGAATCCAGAGTTGACAGTAGGTGATCTATAACAACCGCGCAGCCTTGGGACTGCACCCATCTACAGTCAGATGATAGGACATAAAGTACACGTATTCTACACATTTTAACAACACCGCACTTGCTTCCCCCATTTTCGCTTCCAGCTTCTTCCGCTGCGTTACTTCCCGGCTCGGTGATTTGACCGCCTGGATACTCGTGTCCGTCCTCCTCTCTGGTCCTACAAACACGCACGAATATGTTGCCTCCTCTACTTCCTTCTGACCAAGCCCTTGGCGTTGGAGTACCCCTTGATGCGCTTGGTGTACTTCCACAGGTGCTTGTACTTGGCGGTCTGGCGCTTGGCTTCCCAACCGCGGGCCTTCTTGGGCTCCTTGAGCGAGAAGACGCGCTTCGGGCGGAACTCAATGTCGGCGCCCGGCACGCCGGCGCGCTCCATCACGCCGGCCGTGTTCTCGTCCCAGATGGTGCGGAAGATGTTGAAGCCGACGGGCTTGAGGTTGAACTTGTCGCGGTACGACTTGAGGGAGAAGCCGTCACGGCTCTGGTAGAGCTTCTTGAGCTGGGCGGTGTCGAGCTTCTGGTCGCCCTGCTCGAGGATGAAGATGGAGAGGCGGTGATAAGGGGAACCCTTTTGCGCGAAAGCGGGCAGGTAGGGGACGGCGAGCTGGGCCTCGTCGCGGATCTTGGAGAGCGGGATGGACGTCGCTGTCGGCGAGACGGGGACGTTGGCGGCGAGGTAGTGGCAGCGCTTGGCGAAGCCGTCGGTCTCGACGGAGGGAATGTCCGAGTCCATGATGACGATGGAGACGAGACGCTCGCCTGCGTTGAAAGGGGTGATGCGCAGACGAGGGGGCACCTCGGAGATGTTGCTGGGAAGAATCTTGCCCGGGGGCACCTTGGCGCGGCGGAAGAAGAGCTGGACGTCGTAGGTCGGCTTGATCTTGGGGAGAATGTCGGGGATGATGTTGAGCTGTTGGATACGCTGCTCAATCATCTTGGCCTCGTAGGATTGCCACTTGCGCTCGGCAAGGAAGCGGTAAATGGGTTTGCTCATGTCACCTGTTTCATAAGGCATATTAGCACTCAATGCGGGTCTCAAGCGTAGAAATCCGCCATGCGTCCATACCGAGTCCATCTTCGAACCGCCTCTTGACGGCAGGATCGTTGATATCCGCCAGAATCTTCAATCTCTCGACCTGCTTGCGCAGACTGGACAGCCTCATCTGACGCATCCTCTCTCCTCCCCTGACCTCATCACCACTCAAGCCCTCCAACAACCTGATCGCTTCCGTCTCCTCCACAATAGCACGCAGCTTCTCCTCGCGGTCGGCGGCGAGGATCTTGCGCGCCTCCTGGAAGGCCTGGTAAGGCAGTTGCTCAAAGGGGATGTTCGAACTCGTGCGGATAGCATAACGGCGACGTCTCGAACCGACGGGCGGCGTGCCCGCCTTCCACAGATCCTTCTCGGCCCACGGTGCGACGGCTGTGTTGGGGTCCAGCTCGACGGGGTCGACAGTCTCGGGGCGCTCGCGCGACACCTTGTACACTTCGGCGGCAGGGGCGGGCGTCGTTGACAGACTTCTCCGTATCGGCAGGGGCGTGGCGACTCTGTTCAGGCATCGATGCAGCGGCCGAATGGCCTGCCTACACGATGAGGACATTTTGGCTGTGGGAAGGGAGGAGGGGGCGTGTGGGTTCGGCGGGTGGTCGTCTGATTCCCGACCAGAGCTTCTGAAGGAGGTTTTTCACCAGAGCTTCACGAGTCTACCTACTTTGCGGGTCTCCATAATTATTTTTCCAATTGAACGGCGGAATATCCCGCCCCGGACAGGGGAGAGAGCTCCCATTGACAAGCCACACAGCGTGCACGCTGCAGGTACGTACCGGCAATTGGCGCTGTCTGATTGGCAGCTTGCTTCGACAGGACGGGCCAAATTTTCGTGTTTCCTGCGCAAAGGGTTGCAGCTATCGATATTCCAACCCATCGAACATCGCGAACTCCCCTTGCGACGTCCGTATACACAATGGCCGGCAAAGGAGTCAGGAGCCTCGGAGAGGCCATGAGGGGGCTGTCCCTCTCATCGACGTGCAGGAACGCGAGCTCTGCAACCTCCTTCATCGGCTCATCCAGCTTTACGAGATCAATGGCCACCGAGGCGCCATTCCCCGGCATCACAACCTCCGCCTACAGCACACCTAAGCAGACGGAGTGGACACCAAGTGCGTTTTATAGAAACATACTCTGGCTCTTCGAAGATGCAATGACTAATATCTCTCTCTCTTAGCCACATCCGTCCCCGTCACAGTCCACGCCTTCCCGACGCTCGAACCCCAGTCCCTCGAGTCGTACTCGACGAAGCACCTCTACCTCCCCCTCCGCCGCGATCTCCTCCATCTTGCCGTCGTCTACGAGGGCGACTCCACCCGCCAGGGTACGGCCAGCACCAAGAACCGGTGGGAGGTCCGCGGCTCGCACAGAAAGATACACCCGCAAAAGGGAAGCGGTCGCGCCCGTGCCGGCACGAAGCAGTCGCCCATCCGCCGCGGCGGAGGTGTCGCCCACGGCCCCAAGCCGCGCGACTTCAGCACCTCGCTCAACCGCAAGGTCTACGACGTTGCCTGGCGCACCGCCCTCAGCTACCGCTACCGCCGCGGCCAGCTCATCGTCTGCGAGGACGGCATGGAGCTGCCCCTGCCCGAGGACTTTATCGCCCTGACCGAGGGAGGCTTCGTGGGATCCAAGATTGCGGAGGAGTACCGCCGCAAGTGGATGATGCAGGTCCTCGAGGCCAACCAGTGGGGCAAGGCTCACGGCCGGACGCTGTTCATCACCAACGGGGATAGGCCAAGGCTGGAGGAGACGATGGAGACTGTGGGTGATCAGGGCAGGTGCCTTGGTGTTCACGATGTGGATGTCAAGGACCTGCTGGAGGAGGGACGCGTGGTTGTTGAGCGCGCGGCGCTCAACGAGATGATTGAGTCGCATCAGAGTGACTTGATCAGCAAGATCTTCATTGGTGGTGCTTTCAAGAGCGGCCCGGCAATCGGTGGTTCGATCATTTCATGAAGCATCAGATGTAGTTCCAAAATTGGGCAAAGGGGAAGGAGAAGGAGAAATATGTCGATATCTGTAACACCAATCAACGCGGAGATCTTCTGGTTAGAAGGCGCCTCTCCGGCTTGTAGCAATAGAAGGCACGAATTGCCATTCACTCTGTAACCTATAGCAAGAGAAAGATACATCTACGGATCCATGTGCTAAAATAGAGTCATCAAAAGGATACGAGTGCTGTTAAGGATATTACATCTGGTTTTCAATGGCGAAATATGCACACGGCAGGGAAAGTCTATGGTCTTGACGATACAACAAGCGAGGAAAGGTCCAGAGGCCGGTAGGAAACTGTTGGTGCATTCAATTGAGATAAAACGGGTCCGTAAGGTAATAATGAGAACCTACTATGTTACCTACTCGGTACGCATCCATGGACTTGCGAAAGTTGCATAAAGTCATCAATCCCAAGGTTGCTATGAATTCTCCAAAAAAAAAAAAAAGCAGCACGAAAAAGAGCTCATGCACAATTTGGACAATTCGTGTGTGCTGCGTGTACCTTACTGAAGCCAGAAGGAGCAATTGCAGAACATCACCTTTTCTTGCGGCTATGGGGCTGTTGACGTCCGACTTGCCTCTATTCGGAAACCTCATACGCCATACTGCGTCACAGGAACCTGGCAGGAACCCCGGGGCCCCGATTCGAGTCGAACGGAAACCCACACACGCATATGCACGCGCCGCCCAGTCAGCCGCCTCACCAAGCCGAAGGAAAGATAGACATATCGAAGACCTCGACAAAAACTACCTCAACATCGACAGGAATGCAAAACTTGTCATTGAGGATCTAGCCTACTTTGCATATCAGAGCCCAACGCGATACGATATTGCTTTTGCTTCCAATTTCCTTAGGTACAATAAGGTAGATTAACTCAAGGTACCTATGCGTAGACACCGGGAACGCTCCGGACACGTCCCAGCCCCATACCTCCCGTCGGGTAAAGTGGGGGTGAGTTGCACCAACCCGGCCCGAAAAAAATCGAAAAAAAAAGGGCGTTGCAGGTTTCCCGTCCGCCGCCGCTTGCCCGCCGGGGGACGAGGTGCAGCGCGGCGGAGCGAAGACGTACCTGTTGGAGTCCATGCGCCCAGCCCTACGTCATTGCGGGTAGGGGCACTTTCGTCCTTGACCTCACTGTCCACTCCCGCCCAGTCGTCATCAACATCCACCACCGTACTTTACGGTTTACCTCAATTTAGAGTTTCCGCTGTCCAAGGCAAATTACCTTGCCAGGAAGCTCATGGGCAACCATCCCTGCGGCGTCGTGTTATACATCACACGGTAGATTAAGGTACGGATCACTCTTTTGCCTCATGTTTGATGACCTGTGGTATGGGACTTGTTGTTTGGATGCCAAAGTTGAGGGTGCGAAGGAAGTCTGATGTAGCCAGGCAAAATGCGTGTTTTCCGAGATGGAGAAAATGACTTACTACTGTGTATGAGTCGCAGTATTTCCAAGTTAGACACACTCTCCAAAGATCAACATGCAGAAAGGTCTTGCCCGCCTCCTCCTCCTCCTTCCTCCTTCTCGAGCAAGCCCTGCAAGGCTGGCCCAGATCCCTGCTCTTCCCGCCTTGATGCCTGCAGTTACCTAGTGAAAGCCAACGACCAAAAAAACCGTCGTACAATACGATAGAGTACCAGTAACCTGTAAAGAATATCCATGGATACTCCCTTCTTGTCTACTGCACTCGGCGACCATCGCCGAAACTCGCCGCACGCGACCTGACAGGACTCAGGTTCCTCTTTCCATGGCCCATGTAGGTAAGTATTACAGCGAGAAAACAGCGGGGTCGTTGAAAGAAGCGTTTGAACGTTTTCTCCTGTGTACTTCCGTAGTGTGTACGAACCGGCGTGGCGGGCCGTCCAAGGGATGGTTGGGCTGGGATTTGGCGCGCCAGGTACACCTGCCCGTCGTCCTAGCTCCCCGTACCCATCATCCCGTATTTGGATATTTGGGGGTTAGCAGTGACGTAGATATGTGGTAGTTTCCAATCTTCAGCCCAACGAGAAGGAGAGGTCTTTGTATGACCATTGCATAGGTACTCCGTAGACAAAGACTGGTATTCTACTTGACTACCTTAGTATTCGTCCTCAACATTCAATCTCTTCATCAACATCCGCTCACCTCCCTTGCCATGCCATGAGCGATATCTTCAGATCCTCCAGCAAGCAAGAGAGATGGATGATACCTCGGGAGGACGATAGGACAAGGGCCCCTTTCGCCCTCCCCCGCTCCTCGCTTCTCGAGATCACCGGTGTCGTGTTGTTGCGAATGGGGACCCAGGGAATCGAATCCAAGGGGGGTCATTACTGACGTAGTGCAGGCCAAGCTAAGGTACATACCGGAGCTACCTAACCTGACGTAGGACCCGGGGGTGAGCTGTCGACTTCTCCTCCTACATGCTTTAGCGGAAGCTTGATAAACCGGCTCATCCTCGCTGTACAGCAGCTTTTCTCTTCTGCTTCTCTTTTCTCCCTTTTCGCTCCTTTGTCCGACTATTGGTGGACTTGCTTCTAGCTCATGGTATTGTGGCTCAAGCTACCTGCCTGCCAGCTTGAGCATGCTGCCATGTACTTACACCCCAGCTTCTCGGGCAAGCTTCACCAACTTTTCCTCCGAGTGCCAGGATAAATTGAAGAAGGTCCCCGATACAGACCACTAATAGCTATTAGCGCATCAGTCTCGATAGGGAAGATCTATAGAAGGATCCGTCGTCCTCACCTTCTTTGGCACCAACACTATCGTTTGCAATCACACCCTCCCCCCTCTCGACAACCAGACACCTCGACTCTTCGACTTCACAAAAGCGCCCAATAGCTTTGATCTAATCTTCAACCCATTCTTTTCTCTAACCTCGAAAGTCCCCTCCATTGAACCCCCGTGAGGCCCAACCCAAACGACTCGCCTCATCATCGAACCTCAACACGACTCTCACAACACCGACCTCTCACAGGCTGAACAGGACGGTCCATCTTGACCCATATTCCAGGGAAAGGATGCCTAAGAATCATTTTGGCAAGACTACATCCAGCTTACCAGAGCCGACGAACCCTGACACCGATCGTCCCAAATCGAAGCCGAAAAGCCCAACTCATCCCCAACCCAGTACCAGTACGACCGACGTCGAGAACTCATCGAATACGAAACCAAACGTTGCCTACTACGAACGAATACCTCCGTACCGACGACCTCTGGTCCCCATTGCCCTGCGTGACATGTGGAGGTGAAAAAGGTGGTGAACAGCTTTAGTGAACACCGACTCCATCGCCAACTCAAGAAAACTCGCCGTCCTCCGACCTCCATGAAGACGGTTCGATGGAATATTGAAAGAGAGGGAAAAGAGAAGAAAAAGTCATCAAGTAAGGAGCTGCGTAGGCTGACGAGGACCATCCACGATACACCCGGTCGACGGCGTCCTTCATCCACTGGCCTACCTTACTTGGACCCACCGCAACTAGGACCCCCGAGCAAGCTTCTCATGGATCACCTGCAGCTGATCGAATACAATTGCCGTTCACATTGATCGAAGAGTTCGCTTCCTCGTATACGAGGAACCTATACCAAGGTGTCCAACTCCTTGAGGTAGCGATGTCGCGAGGGATACCACGCGGAGCTACCGATTTGAATAGGGCCTTGCACTTCCAGTAAGGTTACAGCATCCGCCCAGTGGCTTTGTGCATATTCATCATTTTTTGTGTCTATGCGAATCCCCTATTACTAGTCCGGCTTGTGGAATTCTTCACCTCAAAAGATGTACAGCCCAACTGTCCCCAGGGTATCACGTCGCGCTCCCAGCTCTGGTCCGTTGGCTGGCGGCTCAGATCTTCCGTCTGGTCCCCTATTGTCATTATCCTCCCAAGTCATTGCTCGTAGCATGGCTAAGTCCCAAAAAACCATCCGAACTCCTAATCTGGAAACCCTACTCAAGATAGTGAGAGCTCCTTAATCACGTTGTGCCTAGGAAGGCTCGGCTTCCCAAGTCCCAACGCCTTGCTATTCATGCCGGATCGTCACCCCTCACAGCGCGCTACGCGTGTTCAAAAGCACTGTCGGGCATGTGGTCGTAGTTGATATCGGCATCACTGCCAGATCTCGAAGACAGGCTTGTCATAGCACGCTCTGACCAGGCAGGAGATATTAGAGACATTTGACCTGGCATCAATCAACATCTCCAATGTTGTGTCGTGGGATGATGGGTTTCCTTACTGTCAATAGACGGTCTACAGCCTCCCCCAGTGCCAAGTGGCCTGTTGGCAGCCATGCGGCTGGCATCGAGACTTTGCTTCTTCACACGCTCTGCGCTCACCTGAACAAATCGCCGGGCCTCGTTGTCGAGCCACAGGTTGATGTTCGGGTCGTTGCAGTTTGCGTGCGACATGAGCTCGTTCTTCATTCTCGTGACTTCGTCAACCAGTCCGTTGTATTCCATCTGCAGCTGTGCATGCTGGTTCTCCAGTCCTTGCTTGGTTTCCTGGAGATCTGAGACCCATTCCTTCTTCTTTTGGCGACATTTGCTCGCGGCGACTCGGTTTCGTTCGAGGAACTTGTCTCTTTTCGGATCCTGGTCGTTCTGCTCTGGAGCTTTGCCTTTCCTTCCCTTCTTCCTGGGTGGACTGGCATCATAAGGGTCCGCTGCCCGACTCGATTTTGACGTTTGGGACTGCATCGAGTTATTGGAGTCGGCCCGCGCACCCGATTGAAATGTTGAAGCCGAAGGTATGTTCAATATTGTCGGCCTATCTTCAACGTCTTCTTGCTTCGTATCGTACTGTGCCTGGCCATGATGGCTGTAGAACGAGGGCATGCCTGTCACCAATGGATCCCAAGCGCCTGGTACGGGCATATGTACGGAAGGATAGTGTGCCATGTTCTCCGATGTGTCGCTATCTTCTGGTCGGACCAAATCGAGCGAATCTAGATGTAATGTTCGTGGTTGATCGCTGGGTAAGTCATTGTTAGTCGGTGTTGCAATATCAACCGCATCATTGAAGAAGCTCGGAGGGGTATTCATCGTCCAGGCTGAGGACCTCGCCAGATCGGGAGAAGGCGTCGAGCTCAAAATCTGCTGAAAAAGGTGTATCGGCCACGGGGAAGCGTTATCTGGTCCAGGGTAGGACAATGAACGTTGTGTGGTGCGTCGCTGACCTACTCAATGCGTACAGACTACCAAGTGGTTTGCGCGTGGCACAGAGTCTGGGCTTGCTTGCTGAGCCGACCAGGAGACCGATAAGGATGCCGTCCAGTACAAGGGGAAAAAGACAAGGCAAAAGCGAAGGCTGTGGGCAGGAAGGTGGAAAAGCGAGAAAACACACGATGAAGAGTTCTGCTACAAACTCGGACTAATTTCGACGCCTGCGTGTACTTGGCGATGGACAAGACCCAAAGTTGGTTGCGCGGTGCGGTCTCAGTGAGGACGTGGGGTGGCTTCGGTTACGAGAAGGTGCTGCTTTGTTCAAAAAGCGAAGCTGATCCTCGTCGAGATCGAAAACGTAGGAGGGCAAGCTACAATACCCATTGGTCAGTGTTTTCGGTTAACAGTATCAAAGAAAAGAGTGAGCAAGACTAAGAAGAGGTAGCATGGGAGAACGATGGATTGGGATTGCGACAGGTCGATGATGCGGATGGAAGTGGGTGACTCGGTGGAGCCGGGAGAAGCATTATCAAGAGCAACTGACAATACCTTGATGATTGTGTAGAAACGGAGGGGCCGCTGGTAAACGGGGCACCGTGGGTGTTCGCACTCTCCCACACGCAGAAAGGCACTACCACAGGCTGGCCCGAAAAGGGTTCTGGGATGGAGCAACAGGGCGAGGAGACGTACGTTACATAGAAGGGCTAGGTAGGCGCAAACGGCAAGGACGGGAGGGGTTGGTGAAGGGATGTTGCGATATATCGCAGAGGACGGGAGTTTGAAGGTACTGCGGGGTTCTCAATGAAGGTTTGAAATCTGCGTACCACTGATGATTGGGGCAGCTGATCGTGCGTCAGTGAGAAAAGACACTGTCGACGATCTGGAAAGCTGCCGAGCCGGGCGATATGAGGAACAATACGGTCGAAGCAGGCCGGCGACGGGACGTTTCTTGACGGGAAACGGTAGCCAAAGATCAGCGGGGCGCCGTTTCAACAAGCCGAAAGACTGCCAATAATCCGGAGCGTACGGAACCTTTGGTGGTTCGACTAAGAAGCGAAAAATGATGCACCCGGTCAAAGAGAATATCGATCAGTCGGAAAGCTGAGCGTCGAGTATTATTTCGTCGATGTTGGCGAGGAAGGCCAATGTCATGGCAGTCAGTCTATCGTCGTGGTGCCGGTTGCAGTGAGGTGAGGGCGCGGCAACGTCTTGCCATCAGCCAGACAAGGATGCTCAGATGGTGGTGGTGTGGGCACTGAGCACTGGGCTGGCAATGCTTGCAGTTTGATGGGGCCGTCGCAGTCGCGGTCACACAAGGAAGATGTCGGCGGGAGGGCAGGGATGGGTCGGAGGTTGCCAAGCAAAAGACGACGGAAGCAGGGCCGGGCGAGATCTTCTCAGGTTGTCGAAGAGGAGAGAAAGAGGATGGGGATGCTCGAAGCTGTGTTGAGTATTCAGGTTGCGGACAAATGGGCTGAGGAGGACAGCAGCGGAGTAGGCTCCGGCAATCGATCAGAATGATGCTCAAAGCAAGCAAGCTGTGACAGAGGAGCGACGGTGGAATCCAGATGGAGCGGGATTGACAATGGATGTGGGATCAGTGAGGCTCGAAGTGGGCAGGTAGGAGCTTTTCCCAGGAACAGACAGTGTGCAGGTTGAGAGGAGCTCAGGAGGGGGGATGAGCGACGGGGATGGGAAGTCGTCGTCGGCAGAAGGTGATGAACTTAATGGGGGTGGGAACTTCAATGGCATAACAGTACTTGGTAAGGTACCGCATACCTCACATGGGCAGGCGGGAAGGAGAAGGAGCTTCGACAATTGCATTGCCTCGAATACCACGTTTCTACTTTCCTCAACAGCATTTTCCCTGCCATTTGCCCTTAGCTCAGGCTCCAACTACCTCACGCTACTTTAGCTTAAACAGGGTAAGGCAGGTAATTAGGTACGGATACGAGGGACAGAAAGCAGTTAGGCGAGATGGTGCATCTACCTTGGCTTAGCTACCTTTACCTTAGACTGAAAGTGCTGCTCCCTCGGCAGAAGCAATCACAATGGATTGGATCAGATCAAACCAAACAGCTAACACACAGGCACCTTATCTGTCAGAGACAGCCGATGTTGGATGTACACATGCAGCGCCAATATCAGCACCGGTTCCAAACTTCCAGCACCACCATTGCAACCATTTGAATTCGTAGGTATTAGCCTGGCACCCTCACTTGTTAACCTCCCTTGCCTTAGGTTAGGTACGGTACATGTATTCACCTCAGCTTACCTTGGCTGCGCGACACGAGATGGCGGGGTAAGTAGGTAAGGTACATACACAGTATAGCTTCTACGCTAGGCACAATTTGCCTCTCAGACGGTGCCATAGCTGTGTAGTGTAGCAGAACTGGATGTTAATTATTATCGCAGATATTGCTGGACGAGCTAAGGCAACCAGACCTCCCGAGTCCCGTCTAAGCTTCATCCAACGCTTCGTCTTCAGACACACACACACACACACACCCGATCCGACCCCTCTGTTGTGTAAGGTTGGTTGGCACGCTCCTCGCTGTGCAAGAAGTATCCCGGTACATTATTGGATGCCAGAGACTGACGAGAAGGCACCTCCACCAAAGTCTCTAGGTACCTATGGAGTACCCTGCCGTCCCTTCCCCCTTCCCACCTTGTCCTTCCTGGGTTCGGCATGGGGCCATTGCCTTGGGGGCTAATTGTTGGCAGAAGTTGGAAAGCTGCGACCAAGTCCCTGTTCTTTCGGATAAAAAACTCCGGAGAGTAATAACAAGAATGGAAGGCACTCACTCTTCGATTTCGTCGCCGGTTGCTGTTTGTCATTACATATCAGTCCTCTAGGTCCATATTCTTCCTTATGCTTCTTTCTCCTCCCCTTTCTGTACAACACACCGGTGGCCGAAATGGGTCCACGGCGCCGAACTGCCTCCAAAGTCCATGGAGCCGTTGCTTCCCAGGGCACTTCACGGACGGCCGGGGCACGAGGAGACGCATCGAACGGTGTGTCAGTGCCTAGGTTCGAGCTAGTCGCTCTTAGCAACTTCAGAAGAGGCACATTCAGCGACGCATTCCAGATGAGATTTTGCCCAACATTCATCGTAACGATACCTACTCCGTACTACCAAGAAACCAATCCAAAAGCCCGCCAGGGACCAAGGCCGGTGAGGGTGAAGGCACAGACCAGAGAGTTGACTGGAACATGGAGTGGGTGTGAAAGTCTGGGAACAGCAGCAGCAGTGCAGCACAGATGGGATGTGACATTGGCTCTGCCCGGGAACCAATGGAAAGTGCTCTAGGTGGAAGGTCCGGGCGCCGGGTCGAGCTTCCCATCCACCTAATCGTCGCGGCCCCGCCGTTGCCAGCTTCCTGCCTGCCCAAGGCCCTGTAACCCTGCCCTGCGTGCCTGCTTGCTTGATCCTTCCTGCTGTCCCGTGGGCCGTCGGCGTCTCTGCTTGGGGAGTGTGGCGTGCGGCGTGCCATGGCCCAGCGCTGGCAGGTGCAGGGGAAGCTCGGGAACGCTTGGTACCTTGAGTGGAGAAAGAGGGGGGGAGCGGCCCACCTCTTCCAGAGTGTTCAGCGTCGCCCAAAACAGTCACGTCAAACCACCGTGAACAGAAAACAGCTCTGAACTTGCCCACCTTGGACACTCATGCCTTACCTTATAGGTACGGATACTGTGGACGATGGAGACCCAAGTGCTCTCTTCTCGTCCACCCACAGCAACCTGCATCTCGACAACGACGATGGTGAGGGAGCCAGCTTAGCACTCGCGGTGCTTTCCCTCCTTGGAACTACCATCTACATACACAGTACACGTACTCGCGCCTGTTCTGTTTCCGGTCCTCCCTGAGTCCCTTCTACCTCAACTTGTCCCATCTTGGTCTTATCTTGAGGGAACTCCATTTCTCCAAGGAGCGACCGGCATACCCGGCGGGGCCCCAGCTGCACACATTACACACTAAGGTATGTGAGCATGGTGAGTAAGAGATGCTGCGAGACCCAAAAGTCACGTCTTAAATGCACAGAACGCCCCAGGCTTACGATGTCTTCTAGATCTATATCGGCCGATGGCCTACGCTGTCAGCGCCAGATATCACGATGCCAGATCGCTGATTATACGCCAGCGATTAATTGCGCCATGGGTCCTGTAAGGATACTTCGTACTCCTGGTTAGCATCCTAGCCACCTAGCCCGGGTAGCCGTGTTGCGATCCGCGACTGCACTATCACGGCCCGAGAAGAAAACGGCAACTCCAAGCCTGATGTCACCCGCTATTCCCGTCATGTCCGCCTATCTCCTGCTGCCGGCGGGGACTTCTCCCTTTGAGTCTTGACCAGAAACCCAATATGGAAAGGAGAGCGGCCGAAGAAACCTCCCAAACCACCTTCTTACAGCCCAATGAACCTTGGACAATCCATTGAGGTCATTGAGCTGATGTTGCGCGCGTGAAGAAACCAGCGGTTCGCGTCCCCGTACGGCGTAGGGAGACACGGTACCGGTAGGTCAAACCTTACAGAAATGCCCTGTTTTCAACCAAGATCGTCTGCCCAACCCCGGTCAGGGGCCTTGGCCTCACTGGCCCTTCCCTGCAGCTATGTGCTGCCGCCAAAGGACCCTGAATTCGTCTCGTTGTCATTGTCACCCACCCAACTCAAACTTTTTTCTATCAGCCGCTGTCTGCAGACTGCCAGACGCCCGACCCGAAGAACGACAGGTGATTTTTTCCAACGCAACTCAACTCGATGCCACATTGTCTCGACAAATGCATTACGCAGTATGTGCTAATCTTAGGTTACAGGATGGTAAACAACACGGAAAGTTTGTTACTCAGTCCGCCCACCGCCAATGTCAGGGTGGAGTGGTTGCGGCGTCCCCATCGCCGACTCATGTTCCCGCCTTGGTTCGGTCCTGGGCGAGTCGTCGCGTTTCGATTGATTGCCTGCCGCTGTTAGAACTCCAAGTTTCTTCCCAGTCTGCCATGCACCGCCGAGACCGGTAGCCCCCAATATGGAAAGAGATTGACGTCTCAACCCACGATGAACCTCGACACCTGTTAGGGGCTTAGAAATAACATGTTGAGCGACAGAGAGCCGTTGTTATTTTGCGCAAAGACGTGGTGGTGTGATTGGATGGTTGCACCGGAGGACCCTTCATGCGTTCGGAAAGTCAATATAAACGAGCAATGTCGTCAGAGGGCGACATTGAAACATGCCGAGCAACGATGGACCAGGCATAAAACGAGATCGATATCATCATTGCGCAACGTTCTAAAGTCGACTTCCTTCGTAGAACGGGATAAAGCATGATGAAGCCGTAAAACTTCTACCGGTTGCCCTGGAGGTAAGATAAGTCGGAGGGGAGCATACTGTGTAGGAAGAGGAACCACCAGGTAGGCTTGGCCATTGTCAGCCATCACCACTGAGCGCTTCTCCATCACGAGATGCTTATTGATCGACCGGAGCCCTGCAAAGTCTTTCAAGGAAAAAACAAGCAATAGGACTCAAATGACATCATAGGGATGCAAGGAAATCGTCCTGAGAAAAGTCTTGTGTGGTAGGATGAGATCCACAAGGCACCACTCTGGTGACTCGCTCACCATGCTTCCGTCTGGTGGGTGGACTCGATACAGTCTTTCAAACCAACAGTGAAATGTCCGATTGGGCATAGACACTAAGACACCATGAGGAATTCAGGCGGTCAAAAGTCAATTGCCCCGGGCCACGTCATGGTTCGCCAAGGAATGATTCTTCCATCTTCCCTGTGATGAGGAGATAATGATTGAGACGGTTGCGAAGATGGGATACCGTTAATATAACGTTTTCGAAGATATCTAAGAACGGTTCAGGGACCAGCGCAGATCTCCATGGTCCGGATTGGGTAAGGTCTTCCAACACAGACCACCTGACAGGTCACCTGACACCGCGACAAGTGCCGGGCGAGGGTGTCTTGCCGCGGCGCGTCTGCCCCTCACTCAAGACCAAATTCCATCCCAAAGATCTCGACCAACCGTCCCGCATAAGACGAACTGCATCCAATCCAATCGGTGTATTTGCTGCCTTGCCGCCAGAATCGTACCCTTTGGATCTGTATCACCCATCGTAGATCCTTGCACAATCAACCCGTTGGACCGAGAACACCGACAATCAAGCCATGGCCGAAGCGACCTCCACCCCGCGCATCACGGCGCAGTATCTCGACAACTACGTCGGTCGCAACGTCATGCTCATTGGCAAGGTCTTGCAGCTGCGCGGTGACTCTGCTGTCCTTGATGCGGACGGAAACGTCACTGCTATTCTCAACCGCGTAGGTCTTTTCTTCCAAAGAGCTCTGTTGAGGCAATATGGCTTTGCTCCGATCGACTTTTGTATATTGATACGCGGGAGCTAACCCTTGACAGGATGTCCACCTCACCAATGGCAACGGTGCACAGATTATCGGCAAGGTCAACCCGGATCTGTCCATCAAAGTCCTTACCTCACGCGATTTAGGAGCCGATGTTGGTGAGTACCTTGCCACTCCTGTCCATCTATCTAGAAATCCTGTCTCCCGTCAGTTCAAACGACATTCTGTCATGAGGACTTGGCTTGTCGTGTGAGACCCACGCTTGTGCCCCTGACACCAGTAGAGGCTCTTCTCTGCCCAAAGCCCATCCTCATGCCATGTTCAATAACGCGCTTAAAGCCCCCAGCACCTCTCGCAACCCCCTCACAGCACCATTCATGATGACCGCCCCCGCCAAGCACACCGCTGACAATACACCAGACTATCAGCTCGCCGCGGCCGTGGTAGAGGCAACCCATCACTACAAGCCTCTCTTCGTCTTTGACAATTGACGGCACCAGCCGTCCGGGCGCGTGTACGGGCGCAACCAGGTCACCATCCCCGCACTCAGCCAACCCGCGCGCACTCCGCCCCGAGCTCGCGTGACCCGGCCGGCGACGACGACTACCATCGCCACCACCACCACGGTGAACCCCATTCAGGTGCAACGACAGCAGGACCATCAGAGACAGCATCATCATCAGAGACAGCAGCAGACACCACCTCCCGCTCAACGTCGACCCCCGCGATATATCCCGCCCACACCAACCCCACCTTCCCCCGACCTGACGCGGCATCGATCAAATACCCCTATCCCATTAACACACCCCCCGTCACCGCAGACCCAAAAGCGTTGTGCATCCACCTTCCAGGCATCTCAACCTCAACAACCTCGGCAGCATGATCGAGACCATCGCCAATCCTCAAATGTGAACCAGGACAAGAGGACAAGTATTCCCTACCGCCCTTCTCGCACAGCAGCTCTACGTCCGACGCCGCCGTCACCAGACATACCCTCACGATCGACTTTTGCCCCGTTTACATCAGACTCTACCTCCATTTCTAAGCAGCCACAGATCAAAGCTTCTTCTGAGAGCTCCAGTAGGACCGTTAAAGCCAGAGAAGGACGAGAGGCTGAAGAGCGCAGGCCTCGTCGGCAGAGGTCGAGACCAAAGGAGCCGGAAGTCGCAGTCAAGGAGGTTGCCGACGACGATTCGGACCTCTTGGGCGCTATCCTGGACGGTATCGGGCGTATGGCGGTCGGCACTGTCGCTATGCGGATGGACGATGCAGGGCGGTGGAGGATCCGCCGTGACCCGGGAGAGGAGAGTGATTAGTATCCCATTATGCTACTTTCGGTTTCCGCAGGCACTGGGCAGTCAGGGATGGTTCTTATAGGTAGCCCCTTTTGCAGAACATAAATACTACGACTTCATGACAACACCTCTATTGTAGCTTCGTGTCGACTCGTCAGTGTAGGATATGTAAGACCATATCGATACACAGACAACCTCAATGTCTATAATCAAGCCCCAATGCATGCTTCAGGCTTCCCAACGCCCATATCCTGATACAGCCGGCCTATGGGCCTCCCGCGTCAATATTCAATGATTATCCTCCGATAGCAGCTCCTGTGCCGCCTCCCAAACTTGAAGTAATGCTTCCTCGGTCAATACCGGCCGCTGGTGTCCATCAAGGCCTTCTGGGTGCCGGATGTTACTACCATGCCTGTCGTCATTCCACCAAGCTGCAGCCCCGCCATCACTGCTTCTTGTTCCGTCCATACCTTTCATAGCCTTCCTGATTCTCTCCGCTACAGCTTCTCCATCTTCTGTAGCCACCGTCTCGATGCTGTCTCTTCCGCTTTGCGATGTAGCGTCTGTGTCGTTCTGCGCATCTCCTCCTTTGATACCCTTCAGCTTACGCGTGAAGTGTTCAAGAACCGAGACTCGTTTTTCTGCAGCTTCGGCACGGGATTTCCAGATGGCACAATCTCTTTTTGACACTCGCAGCTGTTCACTGAGTGTTCCAATGTCCAAGTTATCTCTCGTCTCAAGTTGACGCCGGAGAGACGCGTTCTCCTCGTTCTTGACATCCAGTTGCCTCTGAAGACTTCGAATTTGTGCATGAAGCATGGAATTGTTTCCTGGGCTCCCTGTTCGTACCGGAACGCCATCCTCATTTAGTTGGCGCACTGATAGTGTGGATGGGGGACGGGGGAATGTGACATGCTGTGCGATAGGCGGCTGATGAGCGGGACTTGTCATCGTCCCAAGACTAGGTATATTCTTGTCATCGTCCAAGGCAGACGCCTTTGAGGGATAGTTCCTACGCCTCGAGGTATCTGGTGTCCGCTGAGGTTGTGCCAGAGATGGCCTGTCAAGATGAACGGCATCTCCGTGAGTATTGGTTGCTTCAGGAGCAGTCAACGACCCGGTGCTGTCAGTGACAGACCGTAGATTATGACTTATCGATTGATCACTGTGTCCCGAGAGTCTACAGTTTGATACCGGATTCCCCCTTCCAAGACTCACTGCCGATGCTTTCGTTCTCGGCGTCTCAAGCGACGGGATTTCTTGCCTGGACTGGAAGAGACCCAGATCCGTCACACTCGTCCGAGAGGGGCGCGGCGTTGTAGAGAAAGACGAATAAGGCGACTCCTGGGAGGCATTCTCAAACATGGCCGCCATGGCTCTCACTCCGACTGGTTTTGAGATAGATCCATGCGATGGTGTCGAGCTGCCGTAACTCCCACCAGACGGACGAGCTGGCGTCATGACAGGTCTCAAACTTGATGCTCGAGAACGTTGCGCGATTTCCTCTGCCATGGATGCTACGCTCTGCGGCCTTGAGAGAGTCGATGGAAGCGTTATTGGCGGTCGTGGAGATCCTGATTGACCCTGAGAGATGCCATTGTTCATAGGGATCCGCTGAGGATCGAATTGATGCGCATAGTCCTTTGGACCCCTGATATCGAATGAACGAGAGAAATTATCATCAACAGGATCGGCCGAGGGCAGCTTTTCCTATAGTGCCTCTGGCGAAGCCGTAACGGGGAGTCGAGGTTGAGTGGTTGGAACTTTTTTGGCCATCAACTCCTTTGGGGTGTACTGAATGGAGTCATTTCTTTCAGATCTACCGCTTGATTCTGTGCTCTGTCGTGGAGTTTGAGAGGGCGAGCTCGATCTTGGAATATCTTCGTCTGGTTTCCTGCCCCGTATTCGGCTACCATCAAAGCTACATGTATTGTTTCTGTGGTTCAGTTTGGCTGAAGCAGATTTGTCAGGATCGTTTTCCGTGAGTTTTGCGCTTCTGTCTATCTCACGCCCCCGCGACTTCACACACGACGAATGTTCTGACGTTGTTGCCTGGATGAAGACTGCTTCGGAAGGAGTGGGCGTACATGGGCTAATAGCATCGGGCGAGGTATGTATTGACTTGGGAGTTCGGGGTGTCGGGCTTCCGGAGCATGAGGTTCTACTTGGATTACTTCCAACGAATCGGCGAAGTGCCGAAGTAACCATCCCGCTTGTCTTCGGCCTGCAGTCCTCTGACTGTCTTGCGGAATCGCTCCCCGGGTTGAGTACATTTCTTTGCACAGGCCAGATGCCCTTCTCAGAGATTGCGTATGGCAGTCGTTGTGGAGATACCCTCGCCGAGTTCCCTTCGGGTAGCACTTCCTCAGGTACACGGGGACTCTCGATTGAACGCTGGCCACGGCGTCTCCCCGGTTTCTCGGCCGTGTTAACTAAGCTCTGAGCCTTCGAAAAGCCGCTCGATGAACCGGTCTGGCCCTCTGCGGCAGTTACATGGAATTTGGTGGCGCTTGGCTGTATTTTGTTCTCGGATTCAATCGGCCGATCTGTAGCTAGCGTCTGCGTGTGTGAAGAGGCAACATTTGTTTCCGGTGCTAATTTTCTCTCTTTGAGGCTTCTATCATCTGCCAGACTTTCTTCCGCCGTTGGAGACAGTGGATTGAGGGACTGTCGCAGAGGTATCCTGTTCGCTGATTGTGAATGGGAAGACTTCGGCCGTAGTCTTCCAACGTGAAGTGAGTCGTCTAGATTCCCGGTGGTTTTCGACAATGCCAGACCCAAGGCCTCTACAAGTGTGTTAGCTATCATGGCCCCGAACTTTGGATGTCTCTCTACTTACTTGGCGCCGGTGTAGGAGTAGTGGGTGACTTTGACCTCTGCCGATTGATCGAAGACCGTGGCGAAGAATGCTTGCTCCTCCAGCCTTTAGGCAATCCAACGGCGAGAGAGTCCGAGTTTGATGAACGAAGAAATCTCCGCCGGCTAGTGCTCTCCAGATCTTCATTTAGCCCCCGGAAGCTCGACAAGTCTTTCATGTTGCGCACTACTTCTCTCCAATTTGAGATGAGCATCTCGGTGATGTCGTTTGCCACACGGATTTTGTCGACAGACATGGGGCCTGTATTGTCCTGTATGTTATTCTTGCGCTGTCGTTCCCTTTTCAATCGCGGCGGAGTAAGGGGGAAGAGTAGTAACCCCGAAGAAGGGTTTGCCAGCTTCATTGTATAGGAGTCAAGCAAATCACCGACGAGGAGAGGACCGAAGACGATCCCCAAAGCTGCGTATCCCATCAAATCTGACGTTGGAAGTGGCCGGCCCTGCTCATCCTCACGAGCTGCTGTCTCAGCAGCGCGTCCAATGAGGGACAGAAGGCCAAAAACAGCGCAGACAAGCTCTCGACGGAAGTGAGACTTGATGGTTCTAATAGCCATGGCAATGAGTCTAGCCCGAAGCTTTGTCTCTTTTGTTCTGCTGAGTTCTGGCTCTCCGCGAAGCTGACTGTGAATCGCGACCAATGCATCAAAAATTGAGAGAGAGCCAAGGATGCCACCCGGGAGTACAGACAGCAATTTCTTGAAAGCCGAGGCTACGTCTTGAGCGCCAGCATTGATATGCGATGGTAGAGTTGGGCAGCGTATGGTACTTGTGACTTCCTCTCCAGGTTTTTCGTAACAGTAGTAGTCGAAGATGGCATTGACAACGCGCAATGAACCGGGAATGCGGAAGACACCGCGTGTAACAGGTCCTATAAAAGAAGTTATCAGTAGATATTTTCACATGTGTGGTCATCTCCGTTGCATACCATACTGGGCAAGGTATTGAGCAGTGGCCCTGAAGCAAGTCGGCACAACTAGTGAGCCAGCAGCATAGTCGCTAGGAAGATGGAAGAGGCTCTTCCCGCTCAGTCGAACCATAGCCTGTAGATCGAGTATTTTGGGTTCTGGTTTGCGAGAATGAACCAGGTGTAGGGCAATGTCGCTGACGCTTCGCTTGTGACGGACTCCGTGGGGCGGTCCTCGCGAGGTAGGCGGATGCCCTGATGATGTTGAACGGAGTACTCGAGACCACCACCTTCGTTTCTCAGTCATAACGGCCGGCAGTGTATGTTGCTAGACTTGTCAGTAACGCTTCATGCCACGAACATGGTGAAACTTACTCCTCCCCCGAAGCCATCCACCGCAAGTACTCGAATTCCATGCTATCAGTACACGTTAGAAGAATGTTAAATACCTTCTAGGCGATGACTGCTGTTATACTTTCTTGGCCAACCGATTGTAATCCTGCACAAATATCCGACGGTCCTGGATCTCATCCGTGTCTGACAACAGGGCTAAATCCCCGACAGAAGAAGTCCATGTCGCGCTGCTTGGGAGAGCCCTGCTCCGTCGACCTTCGCCAGTGACCAAGGCAGGAAGAGTACTCGAATTGGCTAGCGGTTGAGGGTCGGCACTTGATGGCAGCATAGAGGTCGCTATGGGTAGTTGAGGAGGCGCAGTACTGGTCGGCGCAGTGCTGACGGCCTGGCTTTCGATAGTCCCAGTCTCAAGGTCCCGAGACAGTCCCGATGATAGTGATTGATCATTGTCGTAAGGCTGCATCGCAAAAAAGAAATGGATTCTTTGGCCAAAAGTGGACGAAATCGAACGCTGGAGACCGCTGGTACTGGGATCGAGGCGGGGAATATCCAATGTCAGATGTCGAATAAGGGTGACCTACGAGTGATGAGGACGGGAGGGTTAGAACGCTAATGGTGCTGGCTTCTAGCTACCTGCCTGTTTACTTCTTAGTGATCGTCTGAGGGGCATCGTGCCTGCCCAGCATGGCCGAGCGAGCTGCTGGTGGTATATTCGATGTTCGGCCCGTAAGTAAATACCACTTGCCATGAGTATTCCATAGGACGGCCATCGCTCCTGAAGGGATTCCTAAGCCGACCTTGATGCAAGCCAAGTCGAGGGAGGTGTGTTCCAAGAAAGCTCTTCACAACGGGGGGCAACTGCTCTGCATCTCGCAGCATGTCAAGAGGTACGGCGGTACGTTGCAATGTATGATGATGACTTGGGACATGTTCTCATTTCGTAATGCATTCAGGTAGCCAACTTCTCCGTGAGCCTCCCGATCGTCTATAATGAAAGTAAAATGAAGAAATTCGGGCACCGTCTGGTATTCCTCCCAGTTACGCCTCTGTACGCCTAGCACATGCTCATTACCATGTCTACCGGTTCCCAAGTCATTCCAGCGAGGATCCGTCGCTCTTGGTTCTATACAATTCCGTTTTATTCCACTTTCAGTGCCCCACGACGTCGTCCTCTTCGCCGTGCAGAAGCACGTACTTGAGAATGTCGGACAGGGAGATGACACCCGCAAGTCTGTTATCATCGTCTACTACTATGAGACGATGTACTCTTGACTTCCGGACGGTGTCGAAGATCGAGTCTAATCTGTCCTCGGGGCTGCAAGTGTAGATGCCAGGCGAGTCGTCCGGACGCTTGACTAGTGCCTCTCCGATGCTTGATTGCAGTTCTTCATAAACGCCCCCCTTAATGCACGGAATGATATCGACGGCTTCGAAGACGTTCAGTAGGCGGTTGTACTTGTCGACAATCGGGACGCAGGATATGTTTTGCTTGACCATCAGATCGACCACACTGAGGACAGAATCGTGCATCTGCGCTGTAGCAAGGCTCTTGTATGTGCCCAATCCAATCTCTCTGAGGGACTTCTTGAGTAGAACGGTGTTGTGCTCGTTGTTGACGGCGATGAATTTAAGAATTCTGTACTGTGTAATGACGCTAACAACCATCTTGCGCCCGGTCTCGTCGTCAACGTCAACGAGGGGGATTCGGCGCGCACGAGTCTTGAGCATGCGACGGCAGGCCTCGTAGAGTGGTCTCATGGGGTTGACGGAAACGGTCTCGAGTGGAGAGGCCCCGATAGCCTTTTCAATATCTGACAAGCCTCTCAGTATGCGACCGAAAGTTCGGACGGCGATGGGAGCGTTACTGACCTCGCAAGCTGCTGAGCCTGAATTGTTCCAGCTTATGCATCTCGTCAGGGAACTGACAGTAGTATTGAATCACATTGATGAAATCTGTCGCCGTCAGAAGGCCGGCGAACCTGGAATTGTGCGAATCCCATAGCGGCGCTGACACGATGGCTGGGACGATGGTCAGAATAAACAGCCCGTTATGACAGAGTAGCATGACTCGTACCATTTTGAATGAGGATATTGAGACTCTTCTTGATCAAGAGGTCGTTGTCGAGGACAATAAGGCGGAAGGAGAGCGGTAGGACATCGTAGCTGGTTCGGACCTTGAGGAAATCGCGAATCGCCCTCTACAAAGACGAGCAAAGTCAGCGACGGTTTGTTGCGGTACAAATATGCCCACTCGCGACGGCCGGCAGAAGCACAACCCCGCATGCGCTCGCATCTAGGGGCGCACGCGGGCTCAGGCACATAAATCGGCGTTGCGCGAGATGGTCGAGGGAGGGGTCCAAGGGCAAAGGTAGCTTACCAGGCCTTGAATCTGGTCCTTGTCGAGGGGACTGGGCGGCTTCTCTGGCATTTTGCGAGCAACCGAGGGTGGTCTTGGGCGAAGGTATGAGGAGGGCGTGACGAAGGGGAGCTCGTGACCATGGGGTCTCGCGATGGACGCAGCGGTAGCGACTACGGGCGGTTGTAGTGGACCATTACCGCTAGGCTGCTGTTGACTTGGATGCGACGTGGGCATGGAACCAGGACCGGCATTGTCCTTCGAAGCCGAGGAGGAGGAGGAGGAGGGGTCGTCCATTGCGTCGTCGTGGGAGGGCTAATGGCGCGCGTGGCCCCTCTGGACGTGTGGGAGGAACGGCGGGAGACGGGAAAACGGGAGGCAGAGACAATGGGTGGGAAAGAAAAACGAAGGGATGGAATTCGTGGTTTGGAGAATGGATTGGGCTGGACTGAACGCCTTGGTGATTTTTTCCCCTTGCGCCGTTCTATTCCCCTCCCAACCTGCATCAGGAAGCAACGAAGTAGAGGCAAGGTCGCAGGTCTGAGGTAGCGGCACTGGTGGCACCGGCAGTAGCAAATAACATTTATCTCAGCTGTCCCGTCTCTCTTGTCTCAACTCTGATGAAAGGTACCTACCGTTGCTAGCTACCTTGCCCACTCCAGCCGTATCTTTGTGTCTAACTGTACTGCGTCGGGTATCCGTTAGGTTCCTCTTGTTAAGATAAGGCAGATAAGGATAAGGCAGGGCAAGTTCGAAGCTGATGGGTTGGACTTGGGCAAACCCACCCGATGAATAAGGTAGCCGGGGGCGTCCACCCTCTGATTCTTGGTGTTCTGACTTTTACTCCAAGCGAGTCTGGCGTGTGTTAGCGTAGCCGGTGTAGTCGTCAATCAGTTCAACAAGATGCTTATGGCTCCTACTTAGCGCTGCGCTCATTGTGTACAGCGGCATCAGCTCCGTATGGTGATGGAGGCAAAGTGATGTGCGATGACGCATTTCGTCCTTGGTAATGATGGTGTTGCACCTCCATGAAGCCTTCTCGGCGAGAATCAATCTGATGGGAATCAGTCCATATGAAAGTAGGCAATGGAATAAGATATGGTGAGGTAGTTTTCAACACAAAAGTAAACATCTCTTAACGGGATATCTGATTGATGATCCCCTCGCCCGTAGGTAATTGTCCGATACTCGCCTTACTCGAGACAGGCTGTCTTGCTTCGGCTCAAGCTTCAGAGACACGCCCAAAATCTTCGAGGGGGCGTGACGAGGCATGCACGTCCGAGACATTTTCTCAAAAAATTTCCCTCATTCCATCTACGCGACTGACACCACCCATGATACTCACTTCATCAAGACGGTAGGTGTGACAACTACTTTTGTGTATTTCATCTACTGTCGTTCTCCATCGCTATAGCATCACATTTTGGGAGGCGCCGGTCAGAAGCTCTCAATCAAGCTGGATGGATACTTTGTCGTGTATGGTGACTGCAAGACATAGCATCAAAGCGATCATAAGAATCGTGTGTGACTGGACCCTGGATTTCTGACTCTAAAGACCTTGGCAACTTGGCTCCTATCGCCAAGTGCTAGTCAGTCAGGCCAGTTGGAGGGAACGTCACACACAGCAAGTAAGCTACCTATCGAAGACGAGTGTTTGGTGTATGTCGAGACTTGGGTATCTGGGTCGCTCTCATCTGAAGCTTGCCTCTAGGCTAGGCAAACGGTAGAGGCGAAATCACGGAACGGGCAGTCATGAGGTGGTGTACCGTGAACGTAAGCTTCCCGCGTCACATTTCAGTACGACCCCAAGGATGCATGCATTCCCAGATAAGAGCAATGTCACGATCGCTCAGGTGCACACTGTGGTTGGCTTGGTGGGTGGGTAGATAGTCAGCCATGTGAAAGTTGGAGATGGTCTTCATTACATCCCTCGATAGAGAATCCCATGGAAGCCTGTCAAGCAACCTTACCTTTCAACCTAAGGTACGATGGCGCAGAGAGATATAGTCATGTCAAATTCAAGCCACAGCGTCGCTAGCGTAGGTCCAGGAATGCTGTCACCCCGGACCGGCCGCCGCACACCGCAGACGCTCATCTGGATGAAAGGAAAGGAATCTCGATGCAAGATGAGGCGGGTGCACTACACAAGCTCCTCCCTTCATGGAAGGCGCCTGTTGAGTTTAGTTCCCACATGTGAAGGCATAAAGGGGTGGACACTGGAAGGGGAAGGGCAGTAAGATGGTCCGTGCTCTTCCCTCCCGATCAAGCTCGAGGCTTTGGGGTTGGGGACTTCAAACTTGGAGTCTCCCGCGGCAGGTCCGCCCGAGGGAGAAGACATGGAGGAGGAGAAGACGGGAGGACTGGACAGTGGAGGAACAAGGTGGGAAGTGGCCCTGCAAACCAAAGCCTTGCTGGCTGCGCTGCGTCGGCCGTGCGAACTTGGAAGAGTGAGGCGGCGGGTGGGGCCCTTCTCTTTTTTCCACGTCTCGTCGCGGAACAAACAACCGTCCACTCACATCACGAGTAAAAGCCGGACGACGCTGCAGGTACACTCGATACGTACCTCTTGCACTGGGTCCCTTCGAGAGCCTCTAGACCGAAATAAGTTAGATTGCAGGTTCAAGGTCACCAGTCCCACTGGGCTCCACGGGCATTTGCCTCGCTGTGCTGGAGCTGGCCCGGTGGTGCTGGCATTGCTGGCGCGGTACGACGAGGTAAGGTATGCACCGCTGTTTTGTGCTGTCCATGCTGTCTGTCTGACGCTTTCCGAGCAAGGCAGCTCTACTGAGGTACCTTCCATTTGCTGGTTGCTTGGTGACTGCTACTAGCACTTCGGTACCTTTGGATTTTGGTACCTCTGGTCGTTCCCGTCCCCACTAACCTCAGAAAGGCCCAGTGCTGCTGCTCCGATTGCTGCTGCGGGTTGCTGCAACCTGATCCTGGGTCAATGCTCGGCGAGAGACAACTGGAGCAGCCGTCGCTTTCTTCCCAAAACCTCACTTGACCGACTCTATCGCCCAACAACCGACTAATATTCGGGCCTCTCCCACCCGCCAGTACCGAGCTTCGCAATTCGCTGGCCATCGACTTGCATCAAGTTTGCTTCGCACTCTGGCTCCATCGTCTAATCGACACTGCTATCCAGTCGCCAGAGTCACCGCAGACTCCGCATCCCTCTGGTCGTCGGGCGGCCAAACCGTTCGTGTTGCGAAGAGAAGCCCCATCCAAACAAACAAGCCCCAACTTTCTCGACCACCACCTCGACATCGAGTCTCGATATCATCAACATCGGCCTTTGTAGCCCAACTCGGCCATGGGAGCCTGCCAGTCATGTTGCGGAGGTATTAGCTTTCCGTCATCATGCCAACTGCATCACCCAAGCTAATGGTGACCGTTTAGGGAGAGCCCGCGATGGTCTCTACGAGCCAGTTCTCGCCGATAGCGAAAGAGAAGCTGTCGCCGACCTTCTCCAGTATCTCGAAAACGTATGTTTTTTATTCGCCGTGGACTATCTCGTCGACCTTCCATACTGACGTTGTTTCAGCGGGGTGAAACCGACTTCTTCTCAGGCGAACCCCTTCGAGCTCTAAGCACACTCGTCTTCTCCGAAAACATCGATTTGCAACGGAGCGCAAGTTTGACTTTTGCCGAAATCACAGAGCGAGGTACGTCCTCTGGCGTTCTAGTCGCTTGCGGCATCACATCGAGGATGCCCTTTGCAACATTCAACGACCCCGATCAACATCACCTAGATATGCTGACAAGCTGCTCCAGATGTTCGCGAGGTCGATCGTGACACCCTCGAACCCATCCTCTTCCTCTTGCAAAGCCCCGACATCGAGGTTCAGCGCGCCGCAAGCGCAGCGCTAGGAAATCTGGCGGTCAACAGTAAGTCAGGCGTCATAGACAAGGCTGGAGGGTTGAGACTAATTCGATTTATCAGCCGAAAACAAGGTTCTGATTGTCCAGCTTGGTGGACTCACGCCACTTATTAGGCAAATGCTGTCGCCAAATGTTGAAGTACAGTGCAACGCAGTTGGGTGCATCACGAACTTGGCCACACACGAGGAGAACAAGGCAAAGATTGCTCGCTCTGGCGCCTTGGGCCCTCTAACGAGGCTGGCAAAGTCTCGGGACATGAGGGTTCAGAGGAACGCGACTGGAGCTTTGCTCAACATGACACATTCAGGCAAGACGTCTTTGTCTCGCACATTTGAACCATAAACTAACCGGTACGATAGACGAGAACCGCCAGCAACTCGTTAATGCCGGCGCGATTCCGGTTCTTGTCCAGCTTCTCTCCTCGTCTGACGTCGACGTCCAGTACTACTGCACCACGGCTCTCAGCAACATTGCAGTCGATGCTAACAACCGACGCAAACTTGCCCAGACGGAGTCAAAGCTCGTCTCTTCGCTGGTCACGCTCATGGATTCATCATCACCCAAGGTTCAGTGCCAAGCGGCGCTCGCCCTCCGCAACCTTGCCTCTGACGAGAAGTACCAACTCGACATTGTGCGATCAAACGGTCTCGCGCCTCTGCTTCGACTCCTGTCTTCATCCTACCTTCCTTTAATTCTTTCCGCCGTCGCCTGCATACGAAACATTTCGATCCACCCCCTCAATGAGTCGCCCATTATTGAAGCCGGCTTCCTGAAGCCTCTCGTAGACTTGTTGGGCTCTACCGAGAACGAAGAGATCCAGTGCCACGCCATCTCAACCCTTAGGAACCTTGCTGCCAGCTCTGATCGTAACAAGGCCCTCGTCCTTGACGCCGGCGCAGTTCAAAAGTGCAAGCAGCTCGTACTCGACGTACCGGTTACTGTTCAGTCCGAGATGACCGCTGCGATTGCAGTTTTGGCTCTTAGCGATGAGCTCAAGTCTCACCTTCTCAACCTCGGCGTCTTCGAAGTTCTTATCCCTCTCACCCATTCACCTAGCATCGAGGTCCAGGGCAACAGCGCTGCAGCTCTTGGCAATCTCTCTTCAAAAGGTTCGTTCAGCTCCATCGTGCCAGGTTAAACCTTCAATCTAACCCTTCAATAGTGGGAGACTACGCGGTCTTCGTCCAGGATTGGAAGGAGCCCAACGGCGGTATCCACGGATACCTGACGAGATTCCTTCAGAGCGGCGATGCGACGTTCCAGCACATAGCAATCTGGACTTTGCTTCAGTTGCTCGAGTCTGAGGACAAAAACCTCATTCAGTTGATTGGTCAAGCACAAGACATTGTCGATCAGATCAAGGAGATCGCCAACCGTCAAATCGAGCCGGACAACGAATTCGAAGACGACGATGAAGGCGAAGTTGTCAACTTGGCACAGCGGTGTCTCGAGCTCCTTGGCCAGAGTGGCTCGAAGTCTCACATTGAAGGCTAAACTAAACGATGACTCCGGCAGGGCATTTCGCAACATTTTTATTATTCTCCAACTTCCCTAGCGGGGTACTACAGCAGGACCGAGGGGCTTTGGGGTTCTGGTCGGCGGTGTTTCGGCGTTGGTCATGCAGAATGAGATTCGGTTGTTACGTTTGAGTGTATATTTCGGCGTGGAAGCATTTTGAAGGAGCGTTTGTTTTGGCGTGCCTGCCCCAACTGGCGAGATTATGCCGTCAGAGGGGCGGACTAGTTTCTCTTACCAGGACGACCCGAACCTTTTACTTTGTATCAAGCATCATGGCTCGTTTTGTCGGGTCATCCGTGTCTCATACTGCTCGACCTATTAACAGGTTTGATGAGCTTTTATCTGGTGCCATTGGCTCCCCTACCCGTTGTAATTAGGATCATACTTTAGAGGATCGGAAGAACAACTCACATTCTGTGACTAGTTCTGCTCACGGAGTTCCCCGTCGCCATCTTTCGCGAATCCCCTGTCTCGTATTTGTGTGAAGCTTGTGTTGTGGCATGACACAGCTGCTTTTAAATCTTGCGCACCACTCACTCCCGTCCATCTCGGACATCGCGAAGCCCGTTCTCGGCTGTCCCTCCTTGGGAGAGAAGCGCTAACAGCCATGGCTTGTTGACAGCTTTGCCCCTGATGAGAGCCAAAGGCACTGGACCATACAATCGCGAATCTCTCGATGCTTCAAGATTATCACCCACAACCCAACAATGACCCTGAGGGACCTGCAGATATTTTTAGTAAGGAGTCTCGGACCGGCGATCATCTGAAGGTTGTTACCTGAATCATCTTCTGCTTCTCGGCATCAGGGCTGCCCAGCATAACGTAATCGCCGGGCATCCCTATCACGCGTTTGATGCCATCGGACTCTGGGAAAATTGGAATCTTGAAGTGAACCAAGTCGCCAACAAGTACGTTGCGACCGTACCGATAACGGTGGTCGACTAGAATGGATTCACCTGCGACTTGAAATGTTGGAAGCATGGACGGTCCCGACGCCGGGCCCATGAAGAAGCCGTATTCCATCATGACATGACTTAGGGCCAGGGTTTTCCCTACGTTCATGGCCAGACGGAGAGGTCTTCCTGCCATTGTGTTGGCCTGCCGCGTCTGTGGATTCGGATTTGATGTGTATTGATTGCCCGAACGTTTAACCGTAGTGATTCAGGGCGGCGTCCAGACGGGATGTAAATGAAAGTGAAGAGACGCGCGGAGCCGGCGTTCCGCTGGAGCTTGGACCATCGAAAGCTCGTCGCATTGGATCATGATGCGTGATTGGTGGGAGAGCTACCTTACCGAAGACCCCCATGTATCTTTCGCCTGCTTCTGCTCCTCAGTTCTGCTTCTTGCAATCACAGGTTCAGCCCAAACGACAACCGTACAACAACGGCAAGACTGTCAGATCTGTGCCCGAGCCGACACTCCTGAAACCTTGCGACTGGCCTGTTACGAGAGAGCGGGATCTCAGAACAAACATGAGGATCACACGATGCCTGTACAACAGCAGGACGGCCCTGCATAGGGTCTTCGTCTCGCCCTTTGAAAAGGTCGAATCGATTTCGCGACGAAGCGCTCTTCTGAACCCAGTCTCCAGAGCTCTGCCAACAATACTGTCACCGCCGCTCCAAGGTTTCGCACGCCACGCCGCCCTTATTCCCCGGTTCAAGAAGAAGAGGCCATCGCCATCAGACCCAGTATCCGACGCTGCTGCTGCTAAGCCAGGTCAGCTTCCCCAGGACAGGGCGATCTCCGATCGTGAAGTCATGGTTGTCGACGGGAACAACAAGCTCACCGGCCCGCACAACACCCGAACGTTCCTAAGGTCGCTCGACCCCGAGACGCAATCCCTCCGAATGGTCTCCAGACCGCCCCCGCGCCCTGCGCCAGGCCAGCCGCCGTTTGCAATCTGCCGCGTCGTCGACAAGGTTGCCGAGAAAGAGAAGGAGAGGGCGCTGCAAAAGACCAAGAAGGATAACGCGCGCAGACTGGCCAGGGTCAAGGAGCTCGAGTTCAACTGGGCCATCGCGCCGCACGACATGGGCCATAAGATGAAGCAGATGAAGACGTTCCTGGAAAAGGGGTACAAGGTTGAGGTCCTCTTTGCCAAGAAGAGGGGCAGCAGAATCGCTACGACGGAGGAGGCCGGCGCGCTTGTACAGCAGGTCCGGGATGCCGTGGCGGAGGTTGCCGGTGCCAGAGAGTACAAGGACGCCGAAGGGCAACTGCGCAAGGTTATGAGGCTGCACTTGGAGTCGACGGCGAAGCCTGCAGCGAAGGCTGCCCCGGTTGCAGAGGCCCCGGTTGCAGACGCTGCGCCGGAAGCCTCGACCTGATGTAGGCTGGACTACTTGAGAATCGGGGTGGTTGAGCTGCGCTCGAAGACTCCATAAGACGGCATGTACGATTCAGACAGAACCGCTGTTGACTTGTAAACTAGAACCTCTCTGGAAGGCTTGTACTATAGAAAAAATAGTAGAAGAGGGCGCATCGTCTAGATAGAGCGGGCCTGATACCTACTTGTGTCTCATTCCCCTTCGCCAAGTTCTTTGTCTTCTAGATGTTGGGATCGAGTCACATAGTAACTCTCTGCCAGGGAGTTTAAAGCTGGATAGAAGGACATGCAGTATACTGTGTTGCTACGCAACTCATACAAATTAGGTTGTAAGTGATAGGTATTTAGAATGATCATCAGCTGGACTGGCAGAGCCTTGCAATACTTGCTTAGCACCCTTTCTCTTGAAAATAGCCTTCCTGGCTCTAGAGACGGAGTGTCAGTGCTTGAATATTTTCACGGTGTAACCATGTAGTCCAATTACACTCCTTTGATCTGGCATTCCTGTGTATTATTATACCTTGAGGTTGTAAGCAAGAAGTCTTTGCAACATGGATATGTCTTTCTCATGGCTTGATCACCATCTGAATATAGAGATAAACAAGCTTTCCATTTGTCCATTAAGATGGCTGCAGCAATCATGTGCACCGTTGAGCAGTGATTGGCACCACAACTGAGAACGTCACTCCCCGCACCATGCAGGTAAGCTTTAGCGAGCTTTTAGCGCGGGGCACCCGTCGCATCCCGCCTTGCAAACCCCTGTGACTCAGCCCTCCAAAACTTCTCAGCCTTTTTGACTCAATCAAAGGAAACTCCGACCGCAAACCCGAAGGAGCCTCGACGATATCTTCTTAATTCAACCCAAACAATCCGATTCTACGTCACTGTCGGTCGAAATTGAACCAAGCCCACCGAAGAAAATCTGCGACGCAAAACAGGGAAAGAGGGACGGAGCAATGGCGACAGAAACACCAAACACCGAGCCTCCTAAGGCTGTCGAGGACAAGAAGACTCAGCAACCTGCCAAGAAAGATGGCGGAGCGCAAAAGAAGGACGCAGCAGCTGTGCCAGCAGCAGAGGGAGGCGAGAAGAAGCTATCCGGAGCCGAGCTGAAGGCAAAGGCAAAGGCTGAGAAGGCAGCGAGAAGAGCGAAGGCCAAGGAGGCGCAACCAGCACCACCGCCCGGCCAGGGAGGGGCTCAGCAGAGCGCCTCAGGAGACGCAAAAGGAGGAAAATCGAAACCCCGACAAGACGGCCCTCAGGGCGCCGGTGGTGCGAGAGGTGGTCCTGCGGTCAAGGCTGTCCCGGTCGCGATTCCCAAAGACACCAGGCCCAAGGTCCCTGAGTGCTTCAGTCACCTGTCTATGGCCAAGAGGATACACATGACGGAGGTCGATAAGGACGTCCATCCGGCAGTTCTAGCTCTAGGTCAGCAGATGAGCGCATTTACGATCACCGACAGTACCACGAGACTAGAGGCGACTCTGTTGGCATTCAAGAAGGTAAGCCTACCACTACCTCTTCTTCGAACTCAACATAAAGTCCGATTCCCCTAACGTTGAACTAGGTTATTGATTCTTACACGACACCCCCGGGTAACACATTCTCGCGCCACTTCACATCACACATCCTGAATCCCCAGATCGAGTACCTCTCAGCATGCAGACCCATGTGCTTCTCCATGGGTAATGCCGTCCGCTGGCTCAAGCTCCAGGTCAGCAAGATCGACATTGACCTGCCCGACTTTGAGGCCAAGAAGCTCCTCCGCGAGTCTGTCGATAACTTCATCCGCGAGCGCATCACCCTTGCCGACTTTGTCATCGTCAAGACCGCCGCCGACAACATCGCCGACGGCGAAGTTGTCCTGACCTACGCCCACCACCCGCTCGTCGAGCGCGCCCTCCACCAGGCCCACGCCGACGGCAAGCGGTTCTCCGTCACCGTCGTCGATGACCCCTTTGAGAGCACCGGCCGCGACCTCGCGAAGCGGCTGCGGGCTCTGCAGGGCGTCGAGGTGGCGTACAGCCCCGACTTGAGCGCTATGCGTGACCATCTCCGCGATACGTCGCGCGTATTGGTCGGCGCGGAAGCCATGTTCAGCAACGGCGCCATGTACGCCAGGGCCGGCACGAGCGACATTGCCATTGCGGCGGCCGATCAGGGTATCCGGGTCATGGCTCTTAGCGAGACCATCAACTTTACCGAGAGGGTCGCCATGGACTCGCTCACGTATAACGAGATCGACCCCGAGCAGAATACCGAGGAGGCTTTCAGACTGCTCTTTGACACCACCCGTGACCGTCACATCTCGGTGGTCGTCACGGAGCTGGGCATCACGTCACCTGTGTCTGTGCCTGCTATTCTCCGGAAGCTGGAGGAGTTGTAGGGCAGGTGATGTTTATGGCAGCCATGAGGGAGGTTCTGAGAGGGATCGAGGGGTTCTGCTGTGGTGGCCCCTTTAGATAGATACCAGCCATGATAGCTCGATTTAGGTTGCACCATAGACCAATTGGGCAGAATAACCAGTTCCGAAGCACGAGCTAGGCTTACTTGATGATGAGCATATCCCTGGAGATGACAATGTCGATATCGATGACTTTTACGGCGTCAATTAAGCCTCTCCACCCTCTCTACGCAATATGTACACAGGAAGCTTTCTCCTCTAAAGGGGTCTCCCAATTGGCGTCCCATCCGGTCCCTGCGTAATCTCAATTCCTCTTCGAGAACGAACATGATTCTTCGAGGTCTCGAACCGGCCACATCCGAATCGACCGGCCCCCTCCTTGCTCTTCCATACTCAGACGAACGTCACAAAGCTGTTTCCATCTCGGTAACCCTTGGCTTGCTTGTGTCTCTCTCTTCTTCTTTTTTGTCGATAGGTTGTCTACAATCGAAATTTCGCGTTGTGTTTCTTCTTATGACTGAGCCTTCTCCGCCTCCTCCTTGCGCGCCGCCGCCCTCGCGCGCTTCTCGAGCAGGATGGACTTGCGCTCGCTGAGGATAGACGACTGCCTCTCGTCGACGCCCTGGAGCCAGTAG